ATAATTTATTGTTAAGCTTTGACTATGATTTTGTATAACCAATCAAGCTCAGATAACTTAATGACTAATGTGTTAAATTAGTGTAATATACCTATAACAACTTAATAATTTTGTTTGTTAATTGTTGTAAATTATCATTACCGTTTACACTTTTAAGGTACGGATACTGATCAAAAACCAGAAAATCAGAGTATTAAGACTAGACACAGCAAATCGTTAGACCAGTTGTTAAGATCTACTGTAATGGATACACCTATGTTATCATTACCACTTAGTTTTTCTAGAACTTTCGAAACAAATAATAATGGCAATCCTACTGAAAGATCAACTATACCTAAGCACTCAAAATATAAACAATTAGATCTTATTCAAAATACTAAAGTTATGACACTGCCTCGCCGTCAAAAAGATAATATCAAACCTCCAGAGTTTCGAATACAGCCAAATGGTTATGCCTCTTTACCAATACGGAGAAATGATAGACGATTTTATCGACCTGTGCGTATGGCAGAGAAAATAAAGCCAATAGCTGTAAATAAGACTAGATCACCATCGTCGGGCGAGGAATCTCCGATTTCAAAATTGGGGACTAGTGTTAGTGTTCCACTTCAGTTAGAGGCACTGAACACGTCGCCAATAATGGTTAAATATTCAAACAGTACGACTTCTATACCAGATTTAGTAAATGATAAATTAATTTCGACCGTAGCGAATAGTAGTGAGTCAATGCCAGACTTACCGTCAACGGCAGTGACACGATTTTCCTCAGTTTCTGATAGTGAAATCACTTCAGAACAAAGTGGGTGGGTCTCTAGTCGTCGGTCTTCGATATCTTCATTTTCTGGTCAAATTACTCCAAAAGGTCAGTTTTAATCGGCTTCTTAGTTTATTCAGTAAATGGTTATAATGTTCATTTTATTTTCAGTGGATGATCCGTATGATACAAAACATGATTTGTACATAGGAAGAGAATTACAAAGAAGGTTGTTAAAATTACTCGAAGAGTCACCAAACAGAAAAATGACTGTAACTGAAAAAAAAACAAAACCGTCTAAATTTATTAAACCATCTGGAGCTAATAGGTTAACGACCAATGACCAGACATATGAAGAAGTTAGCTTACCACCGCCCAGACAATTTAGAGATATTCCTCTTCCACCTGAACCTTTTAGGGATACGATTCCTCCACCAGATTCAGTCGACAATTTATTATATCATATGTATGAAACCGTAAAAGAAGCTAGATGGAATGATCAACATCGATTAGCGATGAGACAGAAAAAATTTTCAGAAAGTTCTAAGAAACCTATAGCCAGGTATCAAATTCAAATCAATATCAAAATAATAATAATATCAAATTATTTCTAATTTAATCATTTTAATATAAATCTAACAGAACCAAGAAAAGTAGTATGGAACCGGAGTACTACGAAGACGAAACACACAAAGACATAAAAGCTGACGGCCGTATTCATTCGTATAACAGCGTCGAAGACAATTCAATGTTTCAGAAATATAAGGAACAATTTAAAAAACAAATGAGTTTTACTGGCGTTATTTATAGGTACCTAGGTACTTCAAATGTAATATATTTTTTTTGTATATTAATAATATATGTATTATTAGTGACGCTCATATATTAGCTTCAACATTACCATACTTTCACATCAGCGAAGATTTACGCATGTTTTCACCAGAAGGTGTTCACCTCATAGTATGTGTCCATGGACTGGATGGTAATTCAGCTGATTTACGTTTAGTCAAGACATACATAAAATTAGGTTTGCCTGGTGCTCATCTAGAGTTTCTCATGTCCGAAAGAAACCAAGTAATTTATTATAAGCAAATCAATTATAATTATTTAATTTAAAACGGTGTTGTGAATTTCAGGGTGATACATTTTCAGACTTTGAACGCATGACTGATCGTTTGGTGAATGAGATTCTTAGTCACATATCCTCGTTCCAACTACCACATTATCCATCTAGAATAAGCTTTGTTGGTCATTCCCTAGGAACGATCATCATTAGAGCAGCAATTGCTAGACCTCAAATGAAACATTTACTACCAAAAATGCATACATTTTTGTCACTTTCAGGTCCTCATTTAGGAACTTTATACAATACTAGTGGATTAGTGAATATGGGTAGGTAACTAATATTAGTCATTAAATAAATATATTTTATAACAGCGATTCCCAAAGTGTGTTCCATGGAACCAAAGGGTTCCGTCTTCCGTGGGACAATCTCAAAGGTTTCCCCAGATGTATGTGAATATTGGGAAAATTATTTTATATTATAGGTAGGTACTAGGTACTTGAAAAAAAAAAGTTCAAATAAATAATAGTTACAAGTATAATATTGCTATAAAATATTAATTTTACAGACATTGGGGTTCCACCTTCCTCCACGAAACAGGAAACTATTTCCTAAGTTTGCCTTGGTTGTAAAAGTTTGGGAACCGCTGTTAGGTTTATAATATACTTACCTATATTATATTATGCGATCAATTTGTAAGACACATAATATAGTTGACAATCATAAAATATGTTTAAGAATACACTGATAATATTTGAAGCAGCAACCATATTAGATCTGTACCTACCATAGAAATCAAGTAACGCAAGTCCAAGTTTTGTTGAAATATTGAGTTAGTTCTATCTTCTGTAATCAGAAAATCTTTTTTTGTGGTTTTTTTGAAGGTATTAAAACATACGTCCAGAGTGGTAATTAAGAATATTATTAAAGACGTATATAATCGTAAGTTCATTAGCGCAACAATTTTGTTTTGTCTCTCCTGTAAAATTTGCATTTTCTGACTTGCGTTACTTAACTCAGTTATGTGATTAGTACCTACAGTTATTAGAATGATTAGTTTTTTTTTATAGGTTTATGGTTCATGCAAAAAGTAAAAAAAAGTGGTACTTTACTCCAGCTGTCTTTGAAAGATGCTGCAGACATTCGACAAACGTTCCTTTATCAACTAGCTCAAAATTGTCATTTAAGTTATTTTAAGCATGTTCTATTATTTGGTTCATCTCAAGATAGATATGTTCCACCTCATTCAGCAAGAATCGAGCTCTGCAAAGCTGCTATTAAAGATACATCACCTATCGGTGAACATATACCTTATATATTAATAGAAAATAAATTAATGTAAAATGTTGTATGTTAATTACTAATTTGTGTGTTTCAATATTATAGGATTGGCATATCGAGAAATGGTGAACAATATTTTATGTCCAATAATCAACAAACTGGATGTTACGTTTATCCGTTACGATGTACATCATGCATTGCCTAACACCGCAAACTCATTGATAGGAAGAGCAGCTCATATAGCAGTATTAGATTCAGACTTATTCATTGAAAAATTTTTAGTGGTAACTGGGCTTAAATATTTTAGGTAGATGTAACGAATATTTTGTATATAATATTATTTCATGGTTTTTTGGTCTTGCAAACTGAATTGTGACGCAATCACTCGCAGTATTATTATTTCAACAGGCTTAAAATTATCAAGCCGTTTATATTAATAATTTTTATGCATTTGCCAAGATGATGCCAAAGTCCAACAAAATGTTTATAAAAATAAAATAATAATAATAATAATAATAAACAAAGAAACTTATTTGACATTTTTTTAAGTAATATTATAGTTACATACATTATCAGGGTTTATATTAATACCTGTATAGGCTAAACACATTTATTATATTATAATGTTATAATTAAAACATTTGTATTTTTAATTTCAACTAAATTAATTAATTAAATTTCAATTTAACATTATTTATAACAAAAAAGGTCTTTAATGAATTATATTGTCTTTGTAAAATAAGAAGTATTCATTAATAACATACAACAAATAAAATACAAACTAATAAATTTCAATTTCAAATCAAAATGTATTACATAAATATTTGAACAGTTTTTCAGTTGACTCCACTAAATCATCTAATGCAATGCAAAAATAATTGTTGGTTAATTCATAATATATGCTTATTATTATTATATCCAAGTGTTTAAAAGTATTTAGATAATCTCAGTAACCGACCAAAAATGCACTCAATTGATATAAATAAAATATAATACAATTTAAATTGCTATTTAATACACAGAAATGTTCAAAATATGTTTATACTTCATTCCAAAAGAGAATATACCAGACAGCAACCGGTTTCCGTACGGCGGCGCGTATCTTGCCTATAATGGCATACGTAGTTACCAGTTTAAGGGGGAAAAAAGGCGCAAGACTGGCAAGTTCTCTTTTGGAAAAGAGTATTGTATGAATATTTTAATTATTGGTATCTATGGGAGAAAACTATAATATTCCATCATTATTACATTAAATCTTATAATATGTTAATGCTCAAACTTACATCATTATTATTAAAATAAATAAAATGTTCATTAATTATTAATACGATAATGTTTAAGAAGAATAAAAACACAAGGGTCAATTAAACTCAACATTAATTAAAATATAAATATTTTAATTAATTATAAACTTTAAAATTACATTGTAAATTATTTTTATTTTATTATTATAATTTAAGAATTGTTAAGTAATTTTATAAAAACAAAAAATGGAAACATAAACTTCAATATTATATTGTATATTATGTATATTTCAGTTAATTTAAATAAAATAACATTATATCAGTTTAGATACCTAGTTGATATGAGTATTTAAAAACATTACCTTGAAATATTACACAATAATTATTTATTATAAACCTATGCACACCACATTCAAGTCATTAGTCAATAATTTTTTAATGTTTATTAAAATATTATAACTTATAAGTTATAATTACTGTGGCAGCCTTACTGTGCAATTTATTGTACTGTAATCATGGCACATATTTGTGCAGTATTTAGATAAAATAACAATACAGACTAGAACGCATGTATTATTTTCAAATATTCTCAACTTTAATGGATTTAAAAAAATGTTTAATACACAAATATTAAGTATACACAATCAAAATATTATAATTAGTTTTGAGCAGTTACATTCAGTAAAAACTTTTGTAGTTGGACTTGCTGCGCCAAGACTGAACATGTTATAAATTCCGGTAAATAAACAACTAAAAAAAAGTATTTTAATTCATAAATGTTCACAAAAGATTAACTATGTTTAAATTATTATACCGTTATCAATATCCGATAAGTCATTGTACAAACAATAATCTTCTTCACATGAGATTATAAAATAGGAATTGGGTGCCACACATCGAATCGACTCCAAAGATCTTCTTATTCTTTCAATTTTACCACCAGAAGAAGAAATGATTAGCTCCAAGTGTTTAGAGGGTGGATATATAATTCCAGGAGTAACAAAGAATGATAAGTCTTTAAATAGTAGACGACGGTTCTTCTTTTCAAGAATTGGCGGTAAATAACATGACCCCAAAAATTTATCTTGTATATGTTCTATACAATATTTTTTCTCATCTGAAAATTAAGTTTGATTATCAACATCAACAAAAATATTAATATTTGAAATATCAACATAAATTATACATACTATACTCCGGCCCACGAGAGTCCATACGTAAACCGCGCATTGATATAGTAATACGCGAAGTCTGTTTTCTCCCACCATGATGTCATTCCCACTATTCGGCAACATGCAGATGCCCAGAGACGGACGCGTTTCGACATATGGACTCTCGTGGGCCGGAGTATATATTCATTAGTCATAACCAGGGATCGGAACTTTAAATACAGTTACATTATAATAAAATAATATGCATTCAAAAATAATTTAAATTTTGGAATATATTGCAGTCACACATTTTATCACCATCAAAAATAACAAAACATCACATTTTGATTTCACTAGATCAGAGGTTGGCAATCTTTTTGATGTCAAGGGTCAAAAATAAATAGAAATTGTTCAAGGGTTACAATTTGAACATACCATATTTTATTTTAAACAAAACTGTATAATCATATCAAATTTAGTTTATATCTGTTAGGTTTATTAATTTAACAAGGTATCTACAAACAAACAACGTTTTAATCCACAGACTCTAGTCCATACTTTCTTATAGTTTGTGACTTTTAAACTAATTATAAATTTTAGTCGTGAGCCACATAAAATTACGATGAGGGCCACATGCGGTTCGTGGGACGCGGGTTGCCGACTAGGCTATAATAATACGAGTGACCTAATTATAAAATAAGATCATAAAATCGAAATAAAAAAATTTTCTCTAAATTTAAAAATTAAATATTTTAAACGACAAATAATTAAGTAATTCTCTTTGGGCATTTAAAAAAGGTAATCTGATCATTACTTCAAATTGTAACAATACATTAGGAGCCTTGTATTAAAGTTTCAAGTAGTTTTACTCCACAAATAAAGTTTTATTGACATTCATTGAAAAAAAAATTAATAAAATTGGAAAAATTGAAAATGGAAAATGAAAATGTCCCTTAACAGTTCAAAACAAATCAAAATATTTTGAAAATTTTCTAGTGTATAGAAAATGCAAATATAAACAACCAGTTAAAATTGCATGTATCTACGGTAATTTGTTTTAATGTTACACCAAAAACCAAAGTGGTTTTAGTAAAAATTCCCGTTTTTCCTTAACTTTTCTTTTGTTTTTCACAGCGCTTTTCAAAATTATTGGATATTTTAAATTTTGAAATTCCCAATGCACTAACAATATTCACTTTCCCATCGAACAAGATACTGAAGTTGAAAACCGAAGCATTATTTCGATTACTTGTCATGTACACAAAAAAAAAAATAAAAACACACATCTTTGTAAAATCATTAATCAATACATTCATCATTCTCCTCAGAATCTAAAATTTAAAATATGATTTAAATTTCTTTGGAAAATTCAAAATAGCGCGAGGCCGTATCCAGGAATTTTTTTGGGGGGTCTAAAACATGTATATTGTAATTTTATTGAATATAAGTTTTGATATTTGGTTAAAAATAAGACATATTGAAGAAATTTGGGGTTTGGGAGGAGGGTCCGGGCCCCCTGGAACCCCCCTCAGATATATGGCATTGAAATATCTAATTTGTAAATCTTATTATAAGAACAATTTTGAAGGTAAAACATTTATCTAAGTCTTGAAGTTTATTTTTTGAATTTCTTAAAATTACAATTAGCATCATATTTTTATTTTTTTGTCAGGTCTTCCTAAACATAGTAGTATACAGGATACTATAGTTGGGTGAATGAAATTTGGCAGCTGGCGATATGATAGCAACCTTTAGTTTTATCAAAACAGGGGTTCTAAAACTCTTATCCAACACCATTCTAATATATTTGTATAAGATAATTGTATCTATATCTAATACATTTCAAAATACGCGCGCTCTATTTTGCGAAACCATCACAATAATTCACCACCAGAAGCGCGCGTATCAGCAGCCACTTTTCATTCATCCAACTATCAATATTTTTGTTCATATTATGTTAAATTATCTTTTATTTTGTTTAAGAAGAATATTTTTCAAGTAAAAAGTAACAAATATTATATTTTGAGATACTTGAAAATTATGATACAATAATGGTTTTTATTACTTTATTGGTTAAATATTCTATTTAAATTGCCTTAACACGTTAAGTGCCATGTGGCCGCCGGTGGTCACTTGTAAATCTCAAATTGAAATTGTATGCTTTGCGACCGTAAATGAATATGGTTTTATATCATTAACTTTTCCATGGCGCTACAATAATGCACCAAAAAAACGCCATGGCATAGCGCGAATCATTACAAATTTTTTGATGTAATAAATATATTTTTAAAATGTTTTCAAATAAATAGTATAATATACAAATTTAGAATGACACTGAAAAATATACTTGCCGTACAGATGGTGCATAATCGTGTGACCGCCGGCGGCCGCATGGCACTAACGTGTTAAGGGTCCCATTCCAGTTTTTAAAATTTTATATTTTAGTTGCCACCTCAATTATAAGACTTTTCCACTAATCTACTACTCGATACCTATTTAGGGGAGGTTAATAGGTTGTATTATATCGAAAAAAAATGACTTTACGGGAATAACTCTCAAGCTTTGTAGAACTGTCAGATTTTGATGACTATTTTTTTTTTATCTGAAAGAAGCAGACTTTCTACAGCCCGCATCGATCTCTGATTTTGTATTTTATTTCAAATAATTGTGTTAAAAAAATGCTTTTTATCTTGTATTCTTTTAGAAATATTATAAAGTTTCAGAATAAAATATTGAAAAACAGAGATCTATGCGGGCTGTAGAATATTTCAAAAAAAAAAATTATGAAATTTGGTTGATTCTACAAGGCTGTATTGTTATTCCCGCAGAGTGTAATTTTGAGGACAAAATGGCATCGGCACTGGGCGCCTTAAACATTTTAATCACTAACCAGTAATCAGCTTATCTAAATATTATATACTACAGATTTGAGGAATACTTAAAAATATCAAAGTTATTTATATAAAGCAATTAAGCAAACTATTCACCAAAGTTTTCAATGTTAAAAACTTTATTTGTAATGTAATTACTAATAATTAAAAATAAAACTTTTACCTTGAAATTTTAAACTGGAATGTGAATCTTTTAACCAATTTTCATTGAGAATAAATTTAACAGTAGGAAGACAACCAAACAACTCTATCGATGGTATAGGCTTGTTCATGACTAAATGAGATGCTTCCAAACAGTGAGTGGTTGCTGTACCGCCCAATAAAAGTAATATCTAAATATAACACCAGAATTTAATAGTATATAATAAAAAAAAAAAAAAAAAGATAAAATACCATTTTAAATATTTCTTGATCGTCATTTGAAAAACCACAAAACATAGCACATGGTTTTGATGGTAAGCTTTTTATATAAGTAATGACAACATCATCGTCATCATTGTCATCATTGTCATCATTAATTAAATTTTTCATGTTATGACATTCAGACATTGTTTTTTGTCTTTTACATTTTGTAGGACTATCTGAATTTAAAGTCAAATCATATACTTGTTGATTTTTATTAATAGACAAAGGAGTTTTCCAGGCCTCTAAAAATTTTATTTTATTATTTATAATTTATATTAATTTTTTTATTCTTAAGAGGATGTCCATACCATGTGTTGTTTCCATACTATTTTATTTTAATACAATATATAAACAACAACACAGCAAATTTAAGTTGTTAGTTTAAAATTTAGAGTGAATTGACGTATTATCAAACTTATAAGGAAAAAAACATGTGTTTGTAAGGCGGTTTTTTAAAGACATTTTAATTAGTTTAAATAATAAGTTATTGACATTTTAAGGAAAATATTTTAAATTATCATAAATTTTATATTATAAAAACAGAGAAACAAACACTGGTACAATTTTTAAAATTAAACCTTACAATGTAAAATTTATTTGACTGAATGCCAAGGATCTATGTTGTTCATAAAGGGGAGACAACACATTTTGGTGTGAAATCCTCTTAACCAATTACAATATATTAATTATGAATTATGGATAAAGATTTGACATTGAGGGCGGGTTGCATAAAGATAAGTTTGTAAATTTGTTATCGGCCCTGTAATTTATTCATTCTATAAAGTTAATGATTGTGTTAGACTATGCTAGTATTATAATGAATAAAGAAGCTTAAAGAAATATTAAATTATTGATAAACCACCAATATCATTGATATTTCACCGATCTGTAATTTACCGAACCAAAATCCAATCTATAGTTTACAGGTCCAGTAATCGATAATTTACAACACCATTAACACTATCGGGCATTCAAGCAACACTCAGTTTTATTTACAGAACCGGTATGGTAAGGCGCTACAAGACGTTTATGCAACCCTCCCTGAGTAGGCAACTATAAAACTATAATTTTATTGGCAAACAATTTAAAAGATACAAAATAGCATTATTAATTGATACCATACCCATTAAACTTGATACCATGTCATAATTCACTAAAAATGGATCACATATATCAAATTGTTGGTATTTTATATTTCCAGGTTCTTTTATTCCGAGTCTTGATCCAAAAAGAATGTCATTTAACCACTGGACACTCACCACTGGCTTATTAATTGCTAAAGCTTTTTCTACAAGTTCACCTTCTAATCTTCATTTAAAAATAAAAGTACATGAAATTATTAAACAATTAATTTTTTGATAGAAATCATACTGTTTAAATAACAAAAATAAGTAAAATAGTTACCACGTTTATATGCAATCATTAATGCATATTAACTCAATGCGCATTGAGTTAATCTGGGAGTTGGGTGCATATAAATACATTATATTTTGCATTAAGACTAATGCGCATTTATTATTTAATTCATCATTCTTCAATTGAATTAACTTTACTCCGGGATTAAGAAATGCATGTTAACGCTTTAATGTGAATTAATTTTTTCGCGGGAATTTAAAAATGTTATAATTGTCATGGAATACAAAATATAAAACATGGACTAAAAAACATTCGCATTAACTTAAAATTTTATTTGACATCTAATCTAATACCCGCTCCCTAACACGCATTAACTGCTGCATATAAATGAGGTTAAACTTAAAATAAACTATCGCTTTTAACAAAAAAAATTAAAACATTTACATAATCTCAAGAAAATTGTATATATTATACAGGTTGTAACAGGAATACCTGACACGAGAGTTTTAGATTCTGAGTGGAACGATGAATGTATTGATTTTACAATGATGTATGTTAATTTTTTAAATTTTTAAATTTTATTTGTGTCTGTGTACACAATAAGTAGTCGAAATAATGCTTCGATTTTCAAGTTCAGTATTTTGTTCGATTGCAAAGTGAATATCGTTGGTGCATTGGGGATGTCAAAATTAAAATTCCCAGTAATTTTCAAAAGCATCAAGATAAACAAAAAAAAAAATTAAGGAAAAACGGGAATTTTTACGCAAAATCGAATTTGGTTTTAAACTTTAAAACAAATGACCGTCGATAAATGAAATTTTCACTGGTTGTTTATATTTGAATTTTCTATACAAGATAATATTTTCAAAATATTTATACAGTTTAGGGACATTTTCAGTTTCCCATTTTATTAGTTTTTTTTTTTTTATGAATATCAATAAAATTTTATTTGTTGAGTAAAAATACTTGACAATTTAATAGAAGGCTCCTAGTATATTGTTTCAAAGGCAGATGAAAAATATTAAAAATCCTTAATCATAGTTTTTTTTTATAAGCATTTAAAGTTCAAAAATTGACAAAATATTGAAAAATCACGAAAATTAGCAAATTATTTTGAGTTAAGAATTCGTAAAAATTATTCATTTTAAATCAAAAAATTTTAAAATTGAACACAATATTCCTTTTAAGATTATCTACCTTTATCAAAAAAAAAGTCAAATTAAATTTTTATGAGAGTTTGAAATTCAAAATTTTACAACATTGGATATTCACTCGATTTCCATATAGCGATTTTTTTATTTTGTTGTGATTCAAAACGAATAACTTAGATACATGAAAAATTTCACTGAATGTTTATATTAGCATTTCCTATAAACCGTACAATTTTGAAAATATATTGACTCCTTTTGAGCTGTTTTACGGACATTTTCAGTTTTCAATTTTTTTAGTTTTTTTTTCTATAAATATAAATAATGTTTTATCTGTTAGGCCAAAAAGTGTAAAAATTTAATACAGGCTCCTGATATTAATGTTACAATAGCAATTGAAAAATCTTAAAAATACATAATCAACAATTTTTTTTTTATAAGCATTTAAAGATCAAATTCTGACAAAATGTATCAAATTTAAAATTGAATAATTATTTTGTAGTTAAAAATTTATAAAATTTACAAATTGTATATCTAAGGATTGAAAATTTAAAACAAAATTCCATGTAAGATTTCCAAATTAGCTATTTTGAAACTCTCAATGGGAATTTAACTCAGATTTAAAAATATTTAGTTTCAGTATTAAAAAATAAAATCAAAATGTTTTATAACCGTCAACAGTGTATATATAAAAAAAAAAAATTAAAAAATATGTCGTTTGAACTTCATCAGGTTTTTCTGTTACACTGTATTCTTTTGGAATTTAAAATGTTTTTAGTAAACTATCAATGAATAAATTCTAAAATATTTATATCTTATAATATTAGTTCTTAAACTAGAAAAACAAACATAGTGAACACTTTTATAGGATAACTAGTGTGGGTATGGATTTAGTAGTTGCGAGAGAATTGTTTTTTGAGTCAAATTCAAATTTAATAGTTGAGTACTCAAAATTTCCTGAGCATTTAAAAGTTTTTAGTGTACACCAAAATTGCAGAGTTCCATTCTTTCTAATTGGTATTATTCTTATCAGAAATATTGGAGGTCTAGAGTCATTTATAATTTTTAAATTCACTTCAGAATAAAACAATTGAGAACTCGTATTTATGTATATATATAAAAAAAAAAAAAGCTATCAAGTCTACTCAAATTCCTTTTGAAAGTCGAGTAATCCCGCAACTTTAGAATTCAGGCAATGACTCAGGGTGGAAGTCTAAAGGTAATTTTTTGAAAGTGACAGAATATGTTCACTATGTTATTTGATTGTTCCGTTTTTGTTTATGAGCGTTGTTTACTTTGGTTTTATAGCTTTTATAAGTTAGTTAGAAGACATTAAAATGGTTCAATTTATTAATATAATATTTACAGTTATTTATAGTGCCTATTATATTATTATGTATTCATGTATTTTAAACATTTGATGGGACCAAAAAAAGTTTAACTGTATAATAATAATATATTATGATTATTAAGTAAATATAATATTTAATGACAATGGCGTGCCGAACTGACAAGAAGACCTGAGGCAAACTATACAATTTGATCTCCCTCCCCATCAACAACAGTTTTTTCACTATTTCTTTTGTATTATTAAGTTTTTTTAGGTATAAATTGCACATCTATACTAACAGACCTACCCGCCTACCAGAATTTTCCCTGAGGCAATTGCCTCAAAAAATTACTATTCAGCACGCCTCTGTTTAATGATAATGACTTACTTCCGGCTAATAACAACATCAGTTCTGGAAGTAACTTTTTTAAATGAATAACCACCACCGACTTGTTCAATCATTGCTTTAACTATATGACCTTCGTTTATACCAAAATTAACAATTGAAATTTGAAAATTTTGACATGGCAAGTTGTCCATTCTAAAAAATAATAATAAATACAATTTAATTTTTTATGTTTTTTTAGATTCTGATCAAAATTAAAAATTTAAAAACTTTAAAAAGTTTTTAAGGTTTTACAGTGATACTAATTGTTCTACGAACATTTCAGTTTGTATATGTAGGAGTCCTAAAAAATTAGCATCAAGAATCTTGTAAGATTTGAAATTGAAAATGTACGCTTAAGAGGTAATTTTAAGATTTGTTCAACAGTGCAAAAAATAACTGTTAAAATATCAGCTTATTCAAAAACTAAGGGTTACCAATTAATCAACTAACTTAAAATAAGAAAAACATATAATAGTTTTTTCATTGTTATAATTTATAATAATATTAAATGTACAAAAATATGCTGCTGCATGGTATTTATTATTTAGAGTAGAATAAATTATAAAACACTAAAACTTATTTATTCACTTTATATAGCAATAGTAATTATAATATTTTCTCTAATGAAGGGAATTTATCAAAACTTCTTTAAATTATATTACATACACTTTAGATATTGTTTCTAGTTTTCTACCTGAATTATTATTTTTCTACTAGTAATATTTTATTAGCCTGTACCAATTTTTTTTTTTTTTTTTTGGTATAATAATAAGTTATTATTAATTATTAATAAAATCAAAACATATTTATTTTCTATTCACTATACAGTATACACACTTTTTCACTCTTATATTTATCTCAAAACAATAAAATGAAAATTCTTGAATTTGTTTCAATTAAGACAATTTTAGATTTAACTCCAAGTTTGTACTGCAATATTTAAATTATTATACAATGTATTTTTTTTTTTTTTTTACCTGTATGGTATGGGAAAATGGATGGCTCGCCAAGGTTGTATCATACTTTTTTTAGAAATAATATCGCTGAGCCAGTAATCAGTGACGCATCTTTTACCATCTTTCATACCCTGAAGAAAGTATAAGGAAAAAATAAAGTTATCAATTATTATATATTTGTATAAAAAATCAATATCATTTTTACTTGTTCAACTATACAATGTTTTTGGGTGACACAAATTACATGTGTAATACGAGGAGAATAAAACTGCTCAACTAATCCACCATATTTAATAATATTATCCTTGGGCGTAGTTTTATTACATATATTATTATCTTCCTGCTGAATTTGGCCCTCGACAAATAAAAATACACATCCTAATAGAAATCGTTTGGTAGGTGCTATAGATTAAAAAATAAATTGTGTTAATTACATATTAAATATTTAATATATAAGTAGATGGTATCGTACTGTTTAACTGAGGATCATTTCCATAATATTCGCTTTTAGTTTTATTTTGAAGTGACATTGCATTTTTGTTTTCAATATTGATCTAAAAATATAGATACATAAATAAGTTCAAATATTTTACAATATTTTAATTAAATATAGTTCAAATATTTTACAATATTTTAATTAAATATGATATCATTGTTAATAAGATTAACAATGTTTATGTTTAAAATTAAATGTAATATTAATAAAACATTTAAAATATATCATAATATATAGTGTGCCTAAAGTTAAGAGTAACATTAAATCTTTTGATTGTATGACACTTAGTTTGAAATATATATTTTGGAGAAATTAGATATTTGTAACACCACAGTGGTGTTAAAAGTAGTTGGTACACAAAATAATAATTAAAAAGCTTTAGCTTTTAAGTCACACGTTCTTACTGTTTTAAATTAATATATTATCTTATATTTCTCAGAAAATATCAGCAAAATTGGCATGGCACACTGCCAATCTGGCCCAAGAGGGAGAATATCAAGGTTCATATGATAAGATCGCGGTGGCTCATTGATATGCCTGAAGCAGTCCGGCGTGTGAGTCAAATCCTGCACCGTACTTATTTTTTCATTAACTTCTCAATATCTCTCCAAAGACCGGCCACAAGTGTCAAAATGGATCCCCGGCGGGGAATCAAACAGCCGTGACGAGCAAGGATAATTACCACTATACTACTTAGGAATTATATTTGGAATGGTAGTCAATGGTAAAGTGACAAATATATTGCCACACATTTTGGTTTATAACTTTTATTAAATTTAAATCCAGCCGAGGTATTTCCAATGTTTTAATTTAAATTTTTCCTTATTTGTATAAAAGCAGAATTTAATTTTCAAAAGTTTTTCTACTGATATTCAGAGCTCTAAAAGAGTCAAAAATTAATAAGCAGCATTATCGACCATTCAAAATACAGAAATCAGAATACACTTGCATACTGTTTTTACTTTATGAGCACTAATAAGTTCACAACATAATAGTTCTTTACAGAAAAATGTTGAATATATATATATATATATATTTTTTTAATTGCACCCTGATATTCAACAATTTATAAAGATTTGATTCTAAAAAAAATAAAAATAGTTTTTAGAAAACCCATAGGAGCGTTCTATTTCCACGCCTTAGCAAGAGCCACCACTATTGTAACACTTGCCTGTAATAACCAAGACTTATTTTAAATAGTTTATGATAAATAGTGCTTGGATGTTTATGAAATTGCATATTTTTTTCTATTTGTCCAATTTAATGCTAACCTGGATACAAATTTTATTCATGTTCTACTGAATCAAATAATACTATTTTCATTTCGCACATTTTTGCATATTTAATGGTTTTGTATTTTAATTGCATATTTTGGGATTTTAAAAACAAAATTGCTCATTTCAGAGTACATTTTTTTTAAAAAACAATTTAAATTGATGAACTACAAAATTAACTACACAATTTTTATATAAAAATTAGTACAATCTATCACGCATTGACGTAAAATATAAATGTTTATTATTGACTTATTGTGTTTGTTCGAGACTATTGTACTTTATTACATATGATAACGTAAACCTATAGCAATAATAGAATATTTTATACGGCGACAACCAGACAATGTATTAGTACGAGTTCAATCGCCGTGACAGTCAAAACGTGTATTATATTTTTCCGCAGTTGGTTTTAGTTTTAATTAAAAATATCGAAAGTCATTTCATTTGAAGGTTGATGATCTTGCGTTTTTTCAAATATGCTTCAATAACATCAGTTGATGTAGAACAAAGTTTTTATCGCTACAAAAACTTACTTACCGATAACAAATGAAGTTACAAATTTGAGCAAATTAAAAAAAACCATAGTAGCACAGTGTAACGCTAATAATGTAATAAATAATAATATAAATAAAAGTAAATAAAACACTATGTAAATTTAAATTGTATTAAAAAAAATAATATATAAAAATAACTACTGGGTAATAAAAATATGATATTTTTGTTTTATGAATTGTAATATATTTTTTTGTGCTAATTTTTGTTTTTATTGACTAAAAATGCATATTTTATAATTTTGTTTGCATATTTCGTAATTTGTTAGTGCATATTACAGTAGTTTTAAGTGCATAAACATCCGAGCCTTAATGATAAATCTCGTTTATAAAACTCTTGACATACTATAATATATTATTATTTATTATACTGTTTTTATCAAAAGTGGTTCTCAACAAATGTACCGCAAACTATTGAAAATACAAAACATGCATACCACAAATATACTATACGATCATACTGTAAATAAATAATTAGTTGCATTCTTGCGTGAATTTTTAAAAAACATCCAAGGGTGCCAAGAACAAGAAATGATTGAGAACCACTGCATTAGATGAAAGACAAGAAAACGTAAAGTAACAAAAAAAAAAATATTAATTACCTTTGATGTACTTGGTTGTTCAATATTTATATTCTCTATATTATAACATCTGCTTTGAAAGTACGCTTTTTCTGATTTTAAATTAGCTATTTCAACTTTTAATTCACTAATTGATAAATAAAATAAAATTAGTAATCTTAAATCAACACAATACATAACTCGTCTAAATTAAATAAAAAATACATTACTCAATAACAGATGAATTTGCAGATTGTAAATCGTAAAGTTCGTGGTTAAGTGATTTAATTTTTGATTGCAGGAGTGAATACCCAGCCTGAAATTTGTTTCTCTCAATTTCCGATTCATTGCATTTTCTAAAAAAAATTAATAACATTAAATGCAATAAAAAAACTTAATCACAAAATTGTAATAAAAAAATTGCATAATATTATGCCAAGATTACTTACATAGTCTTTAATGTTAGTTGATCAGAAATTTCAGAATTATACTTTTTTTGATTTTCAGCTTCTTTTTTACATGCATGAAAAGATGCTTTGCTAAGCTCTATAGCATTCTTTGAATGTTTTAGTTGAGTTTCAAGACAATAGATTGTGTTAGCACTATGGGTTTCTTTCTCTTTTAATCTTCTTAAATTCTCCCTAAAAATTAAAAAAACTGTACTCATTATACAATAAATATATTAGTTTATTGTAATTAAAAATTAAATTGAAGTATAAATAGAAATTCTTTTCAATACAATTTGTTACTCAATAGTAATAAATTATTTATATTTAAATATTCTTAGTTCTATTAATTTGTCAGATATCTATCAAATAAATAATATCCCAATACCGAGATTTCCAAACTGTGGGTCATAATTTAATGTTTGGTGGGTTGCGGTCAGTTTTGAAATATACATTTATTTTATGTATAAAATAAAGAGTATTATCCGTGTAACTGTATTGTACCTAAATTTATTATTTTGGTATAAATGCAGTTTAGTTCCTAATTTCCCATGTGATTTTTGAAATGTTTTGTCATTATCTGTGAGGGTTACCAGTGACAAAGTGACCTGTCGCCAAAACTCTGTCATTTAAACATGGCTTTGATCATCAATGAAAAAAAAATAAAAAATAACAGTCGTTAATATGTCGTACTGTAATAAGTTTGGGAACATCTGCTCCTAAATATTGTAAGCTAATTAAATTTAAAAGCATTTAAATTATATTTATACATTTTTTATTTGATTAAGACTTATTATTTTTTTATAAATTTATCATAATAGGGATTAGTACTGGAAAATGAATAGTGAAATTTGTACAGTTAAAAAAATTAATTTATGTCATAACATATTTTATAAAAGAACATAAATTCAAATATATTAACTAAAGAAGATAAAGTAGAACCTCTTTATAACAGACTCTAGGTCTCCATATAAGATGGAAATCTCCCTACAATGGAAAATAACATTAGTCCCGTATACTTTAGTCTCCCTAGTCGGACCCTTCTTTATAATGGAAAAATCGGTTTGTACCGATCAATTCCGTTGTAAGGAGTTTTTACTGTCCTTAAATAATTAATGAATCATTATTTTTCTTTAATTGATTATGCTAGATTAAATGTAAGAAAAAAACCTTTTATGGACAAAACTATTAGTTAATAAATTAAACAAACAAGATGGTAGGTAGTATTATTTACCTTATGTTGTATTTTATTCAAAATGAATTAAAGATTGATGAAATTAATTTAATTTATCATTAAATATTCCTTATAAAGTTATATGTGAGTTCAAATATTAATAATTACAAATATTTACTTTAGTCTAAATATTGTTTCATCTTTTTTATCAGCCAATGTTACTTGAGCATTAGAATCAACTTGCAAAAATAATTTAATCAGATTATTTTCTAGTACCGGTGAACGACAATGTGGGCAAGTTTTTGATCTATAGACAAAAAAATATAACATAAAAATACAATTTTTTTTTCAAATAATAAGTTCATAACAAATAAAATTAAAATAATATATTATTTTACCTTGTTAACCATTTCTTAAGACATTCATGATGAAAGACATGGCCACACTGTGTTGTATAAGTAGTGTCATGGTGAATTCCAACAAATGTCTCATTACAAATTGAACAAGTAAACATTTTTCTAGAAAAAAAATAAATAATTAATTTGAATAACTAACTACCTACATTAACTAGACAATAATAATAATAATAAAAAAATGGCTTATTTTTACTTAGGCAAAGTAACCAGAAACTACACCAAGTTGATGAAATATTTAAATATTTTATTTAGGAAGCAAAATCATAGTATAAGAAATAATAAGAGCACCCAGGAAATGAACAATTAACAAATACTAAACCTCGACAACTATACTCTGTTCAGGTTAAGAGTGCCCAAAATCGCGCATGCATACTGAGCCGCCGACAGCCGTCAGACCCCCCAGGCGACAGCAGACGTGCTGTGATTGGTCAGCGTTGTCGACCGCTGTCGGACTTCGGATCGACCTGCCGCCGTCTAAATACAGATGGTTGTGCGTCGGCACACCAGAGCGCTCCCCATGCATGCGCGAACAGAACCAGTTTTCGTTCGAGCAACTGGCCACTCTTAACCTGAACAGAGTATATAAGAATCTAATTTGTTTTATCAAAAAATGATAATTTGATACAGACAAATATAAAATGTTTATGTAGATATAAAAAAGATTTAACAACAATATAAAGTGGGAAAAATTCATATTCACATAAAATTATTAGACCCAAAATGGCAGCCTAGCATACCTAGTATCTACAGTGCCCTGCTTAAGTAGGTAGTACAAACAATTTGAAGAATTAAAAATAATATTTAAAAATTTCAAAAATCAGAATTTTATTAATTCAATTATTAAAGGAAAAATGAGGGTGAGCATGTTTGGTGAGTCACCTTGTTATAATAAAATTATAACTTATAAGTATATAAAACAAACTAAAAAGTTACCTTGAAAATAAATATTTTTCACACTGCTTGTTGACTTATCAACACATAATTAATAATATTACCTAAACATTTTATACTCTGATAAACGTTATGAATTATAATGTATTAATAGAAAGTGTTTACTTTAGTAAGGTACTTAAGTTAACATGAATAGTACAATAAAGTAAAAGTAAATTGTTGATAGATTTATAAATTTAGAACACACAACAGTCTTATTGACAATTTAGAATATTATAATTGTAATTGGTATTTTTGTGGTACAAATTAAAAATACAAGGTGTTAAGTTACCTAAAACTGTTTACAATTCATCCTTATAAAAGATCGATACAATTCCAAATTGTGTGATATAATTATATAAATATAAATATAAATTATAACAAGAATTATTACATAATAGAATGATAATACATTGTAAGTTGTAACTTGTAACTTAACAACCTGTATGTGATGTGGTGGTGGTATTTCAAAAACATAATTACAGGGAATCACGTTCACACCATAGATAATATAAAAATACTCACGTTTATACGGATCACCCGATCACGATGTCGTAAAGAAGAAATGCAGAAAATTGCATATCTATTATTTAATATCTATGGCAATAATCACGATTTACGACGTACAGAAGATAATATGGTCCGTGTCCCGTGATCACCTATGAAACCACGTCTTGGTCTCCAGGCCCTGGACCTAACCTCCTGGAGGGGCGAGGCATACGTGCAATGCGATTGGTAAACAAGCTGACCACGTGTAACATATTCCAACTATGTGGTGGTAACACCGAACTCTAAACTGTGGAACGCGCATTGGGAAAAAAAACTGTCCCACCACACTATACCACAGTATTCAGTATTGTTCTGTGGACTACTGGACTGTGACCACAGTAAGCTGCCATTTTCATTCAATTCATTCTTCTCATAGAATGAACAATAAAAATTATCTGCATAATATACGATCCACCCTAAAGCCCTGTTCACACGATCAAATAATTTGTCAAATATTTGACATTCGTCAAACTCCAAATATTTTAGAAACCATTTCTAAAATATTTGAAGTTTGACATACATCAAATATTTGACAAATTATTTGATCGTGTGAAACGGGGCTTTAGGCTTTATAAGGTATTAAGGGTCTATGGATCCACGAATGGATCTTCGCAGGAAAAATCACAAATTATTCCAATATGGCGGCACTACACTGTTATCACAAAATATAATGCTTATCACAAAATAATATTGAATTTTTACCGCCAACTTTTGAAATCAATAACTAGCAATAAGAGGCAATATGTAGGTCGTGTAAAAGCCAAAATTTATATTAATAATAGATACACTAGTATTATTGACTACTTCATATATTCGCGATTATGTCGATATGCAACCAATTATCCGTATAATATTTAGAGTCTACGAAAAGTTATGAACGGTTACAATGTACCTATCAGTCAAATTTAATAAGTACAACATTTCTGTTTCTTATAAAATGTTTGATTCAAGAGCAAATATAACATTATTGTTACACTACATATTTTTTTTTATAGTATGGATACTTTGCTTTCTATTTAATAATAGAAATAAAATTTGTGCACAATAGAAAATCCCGAACATAACTCTATGTATGGATCGGGATGCGGGTACTTTCCCCGAAATTTCATGTCGAGGAAAAAAAAAAAGAAAAAAGAATGATAACCCGACCTTGCCAACATCAAATAAGTTCAAATTTTCAATTCAAGATTAAACACATAAAAATTAAGGAATAATGGGAATTTTTACGCAAAATCTGGTTTCCAAAAAATCGATTTTTTGGTGTAACTCTAAAACAAATGAACGTATATACATGCAATTTTCACTTGTTGTTTATGTTTGCATTTTCTATACACGATAACGTTTTAAAAATATTTTGATTTTGATTTTCCATTTTTATTGTTTAATTTTTAATCTAAAAATATCAATAAATTTTATTTGTTGGTTTCGAAAGCTTGAAAATTTAATATAAGGCTCCTAGTATATTGTTTCAGATGAAAAATATTAAAAATCCTTAGTCACAATTTTTTTTTATAAGCATTTAAAGTTCAAAAATTGACAAAATATGGAAAAATCAGGAAAATCAACAAATTATTTTGAGTTAAGAATTCGTAAAAATCTTTACTCTTATTACCCAATAAATACAATTTAATTAATTTTCATGTATCTACAGTTATTCATTTTTGAGTAACAACAATATAACAAAATCGTTCATGAGAAATCGAGTGAATATAAAATATTGTGAAAATATGAACTTAATAAAATTGCAGTGTCTTGGAGATGTCAGATGTCCGTGTTGTAAATCGTATATGACAACGCTATCTAACTAGGGAATTAAGCAGCTGCGAGTGCCAGTTCTTCAAGTGTTAAAAATTATTCGGCGACGTTAGATGGCGCTGCCGTTATCGAAATTATTTAAATCTAAATAATAATACCAGACAATGCCTTTAGCAGCGTTAGGTTAGATTAAACCTCACTAAACCTCACTAAACCTCACTAAACCTAACGAAACCCAACTAGACTTTCGGCACTGGTGTACTACCGACGAACAACGCCGTGCATACATCTATAATTCAGAACCCCCTTTTCTCTTCTACAATATATTTATAATAAGTGTTTTTATTCTTATAATACTTTTATATATTTTGAGCTGTTTACGGACATTTTCAGTTTCCAATGTTTTAAGTTTTTTTATTCTATAAATATCAATAAAATGTTATTTGTTGGTCAAAAAAGCTTGAAAATTTAATAGAAGGCTCCCAGTATACTTTCTCAAAGGCAGATGAAAAATATTAAAAATCCTTAGTCACAATTTTTTTTATAAGCATTTAAAGTTAAAAAATTGACAAAATATGGAAAAATCACGAAAATTAGCAAATTATTTTGAGTTAAGAATTCGTAAAAATTTTTCTTTTTAAATCTAAGATTTGAAAATATAATACAAGATTACTCATAAGTTTGTCTACCTTTATCAATAAAAAAATCTCTACCGGAAAGTCAAATTAAATTTTTATGAGTAGGGAAAGGATTTTAATTTAAATAAATATTTTTATGTAATAATAGCATCGGAAAGTTTTCGATATATGTATACGTTTCATTTAATTTTAAGTAATCTGATGCTAATTTTATTTTAAATATTTTTAAATATTTTAGAATAATTAAATATTTTTAAATATTTTAGAATAATTAAATTTTTTTACAAATAAATACATAAATTATGTAATATTGTAGAATTTCCGTGTATATTTTAATTATTTTACAAATAAATATACGTATTCTGTATTATTGAAGAATTTCCATTTTTATTTTAGTATTTTGCGATACGATTAGGTCTCTGTACTGTACACTTTTGACATCAAACGACAACGATTCGATATCTTATCTAGTTATCATCGTATAGCTGAAACAATTAGATTTCAATTTTCAGAAGTTTCCCACGTAAAAAAAATATTTTTAAAAGCGCCAAGTCGTATACAAACATTTAAAGATATGTACCCGGATTTAACTCTACCTCCCGAGCCTATTATAACTCGATGGGGTACGTGGTTATCAGCTATATTATATTATTCAAATAACTTTGAAAAGATTAGAAACGTTGTCTTAAATTTAGATCCCGAAGCTGCAATAGCAATAAAAAAAACTGTTGAGCTCATAGACAGTAAAAATTTGCAAAACAATTTAGCATTTATTTCGACTAATTTTGGATTTTTGGTTGATACTATTTCAAAATTAGAAACTTCTAAAATGCCACTAACGGAGAGCTTAGAAATAGTTGATAATGCCATAAAGCAATTAGAACGGGTTCCTGGAGAAATGGGAGTTTTGACCAATTCAAAATTAAAAAATGTATTGGAAAAAAACACAGGTTTTAATACTGTAATATCAATAAGGGACATACTATTAAACAAAACTTCAAATAACAAATATTCAGAAATTGAATACACTCCAAAAGAAATAATGTGTATGAAATATGCACCTGTCACATCCGTTGATGTGGAGAGGTCATTCAGCCGTTACAAAGCAATGTTAAGACCGAACCGCCGCCACTTCACATTTGAAAATTTCAAGCTATATGTTGTTTCTAACTGTTTCCCACATGAAGACTATGATGAATCAGAAAAGATTTTTAATTTTTTTATATTTTTAATTAATTATTTAATAATTCTATGTTATTTTCAATTTAAATATTATACATTTATAAATAAATATTTATTAAGTAATAAACAAATATATATTTAAATATTTTTAATTTTATACTAAATTAAAATCCGTTCCCTATTTATGAGCTTTTGAAATTCAAATTTTTACAACATTGGATAGGTATTCACCCGATTTCTCATGTAGCGATTTCCTAATTTTGTTGTAATTTAAAAACAAATAACTGTAGATACATGAAAATTTCACTGAATGTTCATATTAGCATTTCCTATACACTGTACAATTTTCAGTTTTCAATTTTTTTAGTTTTTTTTTCTATAAATATCAATAAAGTTTTGTCTGTTCGGCCAAAAAGTGTAAAAATGTAATACAAGGCTCCTGATATATTGTTACAATAGCAATTGAAAAATATTAAAAATACAGAGGCACAATTTTTTTTTATAAGCATTTAAACATCGAATTTTGACAAAATGTATCAAAATCTCGAAAATTATCAATCATTGTAATTAATAAATTATAAAATGTTCAGTTTTTTTAGCTAAGGATTTCAAATTTAAAACAAAGGTTCTCATAAATAGTTCATACTGTACACAAAAAATCTAAAAAATATATGAACACAGTTATTTTTTACAGACATTTTAAATTCAAATTTGGATGAAATGATACATATTAAAATCAATGTTAACGATCTTGGTTTTTTGTTGTAATTTAAAAATATTATTCGGGAATATATGAAACTGAAAAATCAAAATATTATGGCCTATCCATACAATCTACCATAGTATAAGGAGTAAGAAGTATGCTCAATGATAAGACTGTGCATATTTTAAAGGACAATGAATAATTTATTCATTAATTCCATATAATTTAATATCATAGATAAGTAGTATAATATAATATGTCTTATACCTAGACTGACATACCGTCTCCGCTCAGAATCGTTTTTTCTTATATACAGTGATATTATATCATTGAATTCAAATTTAATTCCATTCATTATACAGTGACCCACTGGTAACCTACAGTACAGCAGAGCGACATCCACTTTCCCACCTTTTTTATGCATTATAATATAATTACGTGGGTAAACATGTTTTTTTCGATTTTACAAATTATAGTTACTGGTTTTTTTAAATTTTAATAATATTACTTTACTGTATGAATATTTTTACTACTAAATTTTTATACCATTATATTATGTCATGTACCTTCATCGTTGTATTTTTACCTAATTAATTGTTTATTTAAAAAAAGTATAATGTCATGTACATAATTGTAATTTAACTATTGCATTTCTTACTAATTACATGTCTGTATATAAAAAAATATATTATAATGTGTATTATTGTGATTTAACTATTCAATTGTTTATATAGAACAAATATAATGTTATGTACGTTCATCATTGTAACTTATTACTTAACTATAGATTCTGAGTGGAACGATAAATGTATTGATTTTACAATAATGTGTTTTTTATTTTTCACATTTTATTATTATATTTTTATTATTATTTCATCACATTTTAAGGGTAGGTAATCGGAAAAAAAACCAACAGAAAAAAAGAACACGGAAAAAAGGACAATTTACAATTTTTGAAAACTTCCATTTCAAATTTTTATATTATTTAACTTCAGTGACTGTCAACAGACTAAATGTTGTTCACTAAAATAATAGCATAAACGTATGAAAATGTCTACATAGGTCACTGTGATCTCTGCATAGGGAATTTCCAGTAATAAAAATTTATTTTACTCTATATTATACCACAAATTATATTGTATTTAATAAAATATTTACTTTATATTTTACCACTAGTTATATTTTATGATAAAGTGTGAAAAGGTCACTGTGATCTCTACATAGGGAATTTCCAGTAATAAAATTTTTTTTTTACTCTTTATTATTATACCATAAGTTATATTGTATTTAATATAATAATAATATAATAATATAGAGATGAAGATTTGTATTTTTAAGGAGTTCAATATAGGCAATTTTCTGTGTGTATACTGTTTACATGATGGTCGTATAAATAATATTATGCAAATTTGTAATGAAGGTAATTTCTCCTTTTATTAAATTTAAATTGTGTATAATATCCAAAAAATATATTATAATGTACATATTAATTATAAAATTACAACAAAATAACTAAAATGATTATTCTCGGTTTTAAATGTAGTTTTCAAAAATTGTAAATTGTCCTTTTTTCCGTGTTCTTTTTTTCCGGGATTCCATTTTAAGGCAGTAAAAGTGCTTGGATTTTCTTCAACAGTATCTTTTCTGATAGGAAAGTGAGTCTAGTTGGTACTTTGGTGGGAGTCAAAAGTAAAATTTTTTCAGTAGTTAAACAGCCGTAAAAACAAAAGAAAAGTAAAGGAAAAACGGAAGTTTGTACTCAAAATCTGTTTTTGAAAAAATCAATTTTGGTTTTTGGTGCAACTCAAAAACAAATGACCGTAGATACATGACATTTTGACTGAATGTTTATTTTAGTATTTTCTATACACCATAACATTTTGATTTGTTTTGAACTGTTTAGGAACATTTTCAGTTTCCAATTTTATTAGTCTTTTAACGTGTTTTTCAACGCTGATTTCGAAACTATTGTGTCGAAAAAATTTCGAAATTCGTGAGGGGCCTGGTAAAGTGCATTTGTTATCTTTTTTTCAACAGAATAAATGAAATCCGTAATTATATTTTAGAACTTAATAATATATTTAGCTGTTAAGTTATGTGTGTATCGCTGATATGAGTTTTAAGCCTATTGCCTAATTATGGGGTTAAACCAGAGACGTATTTACGGTGGGAGGGAATCAATCCCCGCCATAAGTTAGGTTATACATGTATGATATTCTTCGGAGTCCTAATTTAAGGCCTCTAGCATTAAAAGCGGGGATACTGGATAAAATCATATCCCCCAAATGACAAAAACCCAAATACGCCATTGGGTTATACAGACTTATATAGTTTATACAAAGTTAACTTTCTATTTACGAAAATATATTAATAATGAAATAAGTCCATTTTATGTTTTACTAGAATTTTTTGTTTTTTGTTATAAGAAATTTTCTGAAGCTCTATAGAATTGAAATAGATGAAGATTAGTTAGATAGATTAATTCTTACTCCTAAATTAGATAATAGGTTAATTTGCTATTTTATGTTTTTATAAAAACAGAGACAATGCATGCAAATGTAACATCCTCTTAATAGAAGACTAATTGAATAAGTGTATATTATGTAATGCTATAATATTATATTAACTATATACCTATATAAATAAAAAAAAAATGGTTGTCGTAAAAACATGCAGATATTTTAGTATTGAACTCTTGATATTTACAATATTTAATTTAATAATTTAATTCAAGAGGACATTCTACCCTCATGTGTTGTCTCCGTCTTACAGATGTACAACATATACAAAACTGTTTTCCGCGCAATAACTTTACTCCCGTTGTATTTATAGTAGAATTACCAAAATTCTACAACACATAGGGAAGAACTTTGTCTATGACGTAGCGTTTTAATTTTTTGGATAACATAAATACAATTGAAGTTATCAGATTGAGAACATTACGTTTTTTTTCCTTTTAATTATTAAAAATGAATGGTTCGTGTTATCAAAAAAATTAAAACACTAAGTCACAGATTATGTTTTTCCCTATGCGTTGTGGAATTTTTGTAATATTCTACTAAAAATACAGAGCAAATAAAGTTGTTATCTGCAAAACAGTTTTTTTGCTACGTTGTACATTTGTAAGACGGAGAGAACACATGCGAGTAGCACGTCTCTTGACATTTGCTGTTGAGAATGGGTTTAATTTTTGATTTTTAGTATTTTGTAATTCATTTACAGATAAAATAACAAGGTAGAACACCCCTGTATAGATAAAAACAATTTGGTTGATTATTGCTAACATTAATATAATTAATATTATAGCAAGACTAAAGGGGTAAAGTTATTCAGATAAGTAAGGAATAAAATTTGAGATAATATTAAAAAAATTTGTTTTTAGTAGGTATAAAATGTAGTTATTACTAAGCAAATTGGTTTTGTTCAGATATAAATTCTATACATACACAGAAAAAAAAAATTTATTTCATAAGTAAAAATGTATACTAAATGAAGGAATAAGAATATATATCAATATTTATACTGAAAATAAACATACATATTAATATAATATAATAATATGTATGTTTTATTCTAAAGTATTTGTAAATAAGCTAGATATTTTATAAGTACAACAAAATACTCAACATTCTGTTGACAAATTAATGAAAAGTAATATTAATAAGAATAATAAAAATAATATTAGGGTATAATGTGACCATACATATAAGTAGAAACAAATAAAATATATATTTATAACTTAAATTCAAATATTAAATAATAGACTATCTCCACGTTTATATAATGTTCTTTTTTCATTAATTTATACATATAATATATATATATATACTCAAGACAATAACTTTGAATCTTGTTAGAAACTCAGCCAAGGAGTATGTTGATAATAGACAGCAATATTCCAGGAAATGTAATAATTGACTAATAATTTAGCAAGCACAATTATCACTGCCCGAGGATCTGTTGTCTGTAGAACCGCCGTCCAACTTTATTTGATCTGGAAATTCATTATATAGCTCTACATCTGATTCTTGAGCTAACGCATTTCGTGCTATCGTTTTGAAAGCTTGTTCAACATTGACTGCTTCTTTAGCAGATGTTTCAAAGTATGGTAAGCCATTCTTGCTCTGGCACCATTGCTGAGCCCTTTTAGTGGACACCTATAGGTACATTTGTATAAAATAAATAATTATAATATATTAGAAATAATAAAATCATCTTACAGCTCGATTATCTAAATCGACTTTGTTGCCTAGGACCACAAAAGGGAAATGATCAGGATCAGATGGTGATGCTTGTATTAGAAACTCATCCCGCCATCCATCCAAAGATTTGAATGATCCTGGTGATGTTACATCAAATACTAATACACAACAATCAGCTCCACGATAAAATGCCACTCCTAATGACTGGAAACGTTCTTGACCGGCTGTATCCCATATCTATTATAAGCCATAATAACAAAAAAGTATAATGAATAAAAATATTAATTGATTGATGAATAGTGAATTTATATTATACAGTGAGTGTAGTTTCATTGGAGAAAACTAGGGATGGAAAACATTTTTAAAAAACATTATTAAGCAAAAAAAAAAGATGATAGTAAAACAATAACAAAAAATCCCAAAAACAGAAAAAACATAATAACAAAATCAAAAACGAAAATAAATTATAGTACCTATACCATAAAAAAAAAAATTTCTGTTTTCGAAAAATTGATAATTCTGATAACTAATAATTGTTGACATTAAATATAAATTTTTATTTTTATTTTGTACTTACTATTTATTATTTTTGTTTCAAGGCATAAGAGCAAATTTTATTTTTGATTGTTAGATGTGTTTTATATTTTTATTTTGTTTACAATTATCGTATGTTCAGGATTGTTTTTATTATTTAGTTATTTACTCTAGAAATCTTAAATAGTGTTTCAGTTTACGTCTTTAGTCTTTACCAATGCACTTTTAAAAACCTTTCAACTTGATATTTTGAATTTTCTAATTTTCATATAAATTATAATTTTGATTTAAATCATTTTAGGCTTAGCCTTCCCAGTTTTTTTTAATCATATTTCAGTTTAAAATATAAATTATCAGGGTCTATGCTGATGATACAATTCTACTCCCCCAGAAAAATGTTCTTAGTTGGACTTAAGCATAATATGCTGTTACCTAGTTCCGTTTTTTGATTTGAATTTTAATGATCCCAGAAAATGATCAAAATTCCCAATTCCCTCCAAAAATATTAAATGGTAACCCCTGCCCTATTGGGACACCACTGTATATAATATTATGTTATAGCCAAATACTTAATAGGCCAGGTAAGTGTATGCAATATTTGAGCATAACCTAATAAGTCTTTTAATATTTTCATTAATCAGCTCGCTATAATTATAATAAAAAAAAGATTTTATCCCAAACTTGTAATGCAGCAAGTAATAAATAGATTGGTACAATAGAGATCTGCACTGGCAGTGCCATAATATAAATATTGTGGGTTGGTTATGGGTGGGATCGTAGTATATTTCTTTGGACCAGGTCGGTTAAAAATAAAACTCCCTAATTAAATTCGTAACACGGTGGGTTACAAACAATAATCTTCACAAAGACCTAAAAATTCCTACACTTAATCAATTAGCAAAAGCACATTACTCTACATTTCACTCCAACTTAAACTCTCACAGTTATCCATTAATAAAGCAACTTTCTTCCACCTCACTTCCTGGCAATGTACGTAGAAGACTTAAAAGACAATGGCCTAGAGACCTACTAAAATAAAAAAAAAATAAAAAAACCACAACATCAACATCAAATCACAATTTTCTCGTTCGGGTGGTGCTGCTGAGTGCTTGCCCTTAAATGTTAAACTCTGTTATTTCACATTATATTAACTATCAAATTTGCTCATTGTACATATTGTTGTATAGATTTTAAATTACTTAAATATATAAAAAAAAACACGGTGTGATTGGTGTTTACAAAAAATATGCTAAATTATATAAATAATTTTTTTTACCCCACTATTCGCTCACTGATAGTAGATAATAGGGGTAGTAGGTACCCAGTCATCACGGACTGGGCCTAGTTTCAGGACAAAAAATAAAGGCCTGTGCTGGTCTCTAGTACCTACCTAAGTACAAAAATGAATTATGATAATGAGGGTTTTATATTAAAAGAATCACTCTGAATATATAAATCACATTGTCTTCATATTGTCTTTGAATTTTTGTTATGTATTGATTCATTATCTACCTATTACAGAATGGGTATTTCAAGTAAATAATATGAGTATTAAAATTGTGTTTATATAAATGGTGTGTCCCCATAAGATAGAGTTATAAGTTATAACATTAATACATCATAATTATAAATTATTCAGAAATCAATTGATATCTAGTTCAATATTTACTTTGATTATAGGACATAAAGTATCAGCATAGGTACAACAGATGGATTTATTTGTGACATAAGTACATGCGTTATAATAATTTAGGTAACTGTCAGCAAAAAATCTATTGAAACAAGTGAGACGGCCAGACGGAACATGTTGTCGAGAAACTAGACTAGAATTGATCCCACATTTTACAGGTGTCTTAAATCTTTCATCTGACATTACTACTGTGGGACACCGAAAGCATAGTTAATATACCTATATATATATATATATATATATATATATATATTACAGTATAAAATATTAATGTATAATAATTATACCAAAAAGCAAAAATTCATAAATCATAATAAAATTGATTATTTAGTGTTATAATTTATTGATATCGGATATAAATATATGCGTTCTAGGCGGAAACCACGATTATATAGAATATAGATAGAAATATAGAATTAACTGTAGTCATGGCCGAAATCAAAAATTAATAATATTACGTCTTATCAATGATAACAACGACGACGTAGCCACGGTTAAGTAAGTTGTCGACGTGACGACGTCGAAATCAATCTACCCGACGTCCATTGACCTTGGTGGCCGACGTGCACAAAGCCACAAAGGATTCGGACCGGGTGTGCTTGCTCACCTGCATTGTGACGATCCGATCGTCGACCATCACCTCTTTGGTCAGAAAATCGGCGCCGATGGTTGCCTTGTACTGGTTGGTGAACTTCTTGTTGACGTACTGGTTCATCAGCGACGTCTTACCCACGCTCGAATCACCCAGAATGATCACTTTCAGCAAAACCTTCTTCCTGGTCGCCATGATTGCGTTGCAATGCGCGTGACCAGCGACAATTAGGATAGAACTTGACTGCACGCGTCAATACGACCTGCGGAATTGCGTCAACAGTTAACACCCACACAGCAAAACACTAAAGCGTGCCCGTAACTCAATGTTATTTTTGTTTGCTACGAGTAAAAACCGTAAAAATTATACAACAGAGAGACGAAGAACACTTGTCACTTACTTGCGTCCAACTGAAACACAATTTGTTGTACTTTTTTGTAGGCTGGTTAAATGCAAAAGTTTGATACGAAAACAATAGACTGCGTGCGTCGCAGTAAACACGAATTATAATAATAACGACCAAGACACGATTATGCAATAAATATGACAATGTCTGTTCTGTTAGAACGCATTAAATTATGTATATTGTACACATAAATATATTATGTTTATGAAGTTAATGTTTATTATGCGTGCTGTCCGCGGAGCTGCGCAGTGGAATGTTATTTCCGTCAACGTCGTTCGTCATTCGTCACTGACATACTCTTCAGTCTTCACTGAGTACTGACTACTGACAACTGACCAGTCCGACCAGTTCTGACCACTGGCCACTTGGGCACTTGGCAAACAGCGTTGAGAGTAGGTATAGTACCCACTACCCATAAAACAAAACTTTTAACTACGCAACGTAAAATAAACGTAGTTATCTGCCAGCGGTTGGAGGTGGTAGACGGTTTGTTGTAGTAGTGAGTAGTGACATTGTTGTGGTGGTGTCTTGGTGATGATCGGCGGGGTGGAGAGTACCCATGTACGTATTATTATTTTTCACAGCACAGCTGTTCGGCCACGATAGCAGTGTGATCACGCACTGGGAAAGTATAAAACGAGGGACGCAGCCTGCTGTTAAAATGATTGATTTTATTTATTGAAAAATATCATGGAAGCATATTTTAATATGGCCTACCGGGAAATTTTAAAATCGGCCCCTACTTGAAAAAAACCGTCAAGGAGTCATGCGTCAAACGATAATTAGTACCTAAAGGCTAAAGCCCCCCCCCCCCTATTTGCGTCTATGACTCTATAGCCATATATTGTCATCTATATTCAGTCCTGTAAAGAATACTTTTGAAAATTACTCGAATAAGTACTCAAATACATTTTTGTTTAAGTATTTAAGATACTACTCAAATACTTTGATTGTATAGTATTTAAAATACTACTCAAATATTTTGAAAAAGTATTTGGAATACTTTTCAAATACTTTTGGTTTTTAAAGTGGGTTTCTAATTATTGTAATATAGACACATAGGTAGTAAATTTATAATCATTTTTATTTATTATTTATTAAATAAATGTTTATTACATTTTTTTTTTTATTTTTACATGAAATTTACAATCTGTTCTTAACTAGAACAATAAGCAAATGTGCATAGGGTATTTGCGTATGATTGATATTTTGAGGGAAGAAACCACCCATTGGTGATACTACCTATTTTGTGTTCTTAATTTATTCTAAAATTTCTAAAATTATTTCGAATAAAAATAAAATGTTCGAAATAAAAAACCAAAGTATTCAATACCAAAAAGTATTTAATACAAAAAAAAGTATTTAAAATACCATTCAAAATACTTCATGCTGAAAGTATTTAAAAAGTTATTCAATACTCAAAAAAGTATTTGAATACTTTTACTCAAATACTTTATAGGACTGTCTATATTAGTATAATATTATAATAAAATATAATGTAGATATTATTAATTAATAATTTGACGATTTGCGAATCGGCCCAAAATTGAAAATAATTATCAATACCTAATAGTGCAGTTTAAAAATATAGATATAATATATGTTTTACACTTTTACCGAAGGATAAAACAATTGTCTATGTTGTGTATAAAGAATATAGTCCTAAAAATACTTCCTGGGATTCCTAAAATTAGGACTCCAGTAGGTATTGGTCATTGGACACCACGAGGACTCCTGTTTGGTTCCTTGGACCATCTGTGCTGTGAGAGTTCTCCCGGGTCAACATGCAGTCTTGAAGAAGGAAATGTGGAACCAGTTTAATCTATTTTCTATGGTGTAAACTCTCCCTAGATGTTTTAAATTTTATTACTACACTACAGGCCCTATTATTTGTAAAATTTCGGACTGCACATTTCATTTTATTCTCGCTACCATCTTAGCAAAAGGAATGTATTACATAATACATATTACATATATAATATATATATATTATATACCAAAATTTCTATTTTTTAACTTTTATCCTAAACTATGATACCTAGCTAGAAATTTGGTTGATAACTCATTAAAAAGGGATTATCAGGTAGACACTAAATATGGAATTAATTTTTTTTTTAATAATTATTTAATTTTTCACAGATAAAAAAAAAAGAGTTATTTTCTCTAGATTTTCATTTAGAGATGTAGATCTCCGAAACTGGAGAACGGATTTTGTTGTTTTGGGGTCTTGTTAAATTCACATTTGCTTGGAGAATTGCAGTGAAGATTTTCAGAACTTTATCTAAAATCGTTAATTCATTACAAAGCTGTAAAGATGAAAAACATCAAAAAACGCCCAATAAAATTTGTTTTAATTTATTTTAATGTTCTGTAGTGAATTAACTATTAAAGATAAAGTTCTGCAAATCTTCACTGCACTTCTCCTAACCAATGTGATTCTAACAAGACCAAAATCAACGAAATCCGCTGTCCGGTTTCGAAGATCTATCTCACTAAATGAAAATGAAAATGATTTTTTGTGGGGCTGTTCACGCCGACATTTTTCTGGATTCATATTGTTTGACCGCTTGGGTGTGATTAAATCAGTTAAAAAATTTCTAAAAATTCAAAATCAAGAAAGTTTACATGCCGATCCCTGACTTGGCAATTTTTGTTTTGTAGACCGTAGTGCACACACGTTCAAATCGTAGTGCACACTTGTATATTCGTAGTGCACATTGTGTGTCGTGGTGCACATAAAAATATGGCCTGGAGTGAATTAGAAGCTGTGGCTGAACATCACATCAACCTCAAATACATTGGCAGTGGCGTCCGCAGGAATTTGCAATGGGGGGGGGGGGGCTTGAAAATTAGTTACAAATGTATTTTTATTTTGTCCAGTCTAATAATTTCAGACGTTTATTTGAGGTATTTTAAAATGTTAGTAACTTTTCAACTTTTCTAGTAGAAAATATGCTCTTATCATAAGCTTTGATGGTACTTTTAGAAGGTCGAAATTGAATCTGCTCAGTGCTTTTAAAAGTACCTAATAGGAGAAAAAAAATGAAAACTTATTTAAATTGTTTGGTAACAGTAGCTTGGTTTAACAGTGACGTATTTATGGGGGGGGATATGGGGGATAGATTCCCTCCCTTACCCATTTTTTTCCATGTATAAAGTACAAACTGCTGCAGTACTGTTGTTATTTATAATTTTGTTATCCTGTGGGCATGTGAGTGACATTACACAACATTTATTATTATTATATACCTTACATGGAGTAACTAACAAAAAGTTGCAACAGCACTAAACAAATTTTGATATCCCCCTCCTCAAGAAAATCCTATATACGCCCCTGCTTGGTTATACCGTCCTCACTTGGATTGTATTTGATTGATTAACTTTTTTTTTTTATAAATGTCAATAAAAAATTATTTATCCGGTCAAAAAGCTTAAAAATGTTATACGTTAGTTTTTTTATTATAGCTAAAATATTAACGATACATATGCATTTAAAGTTCAAAACAATTTAACCACAGTTAATTTGTAGTTCAAAACTTATAAAATATAAAATATGTACAGCTAAGGCTAGACAATTTAATACAAGGTCTTTCGTACAAGTAGTTCATTCTTTTACCCAAAAATTACAGATAATTTATGAAAATTGGTATGCAAATACAATGTTTTTTCAAAAATGAATTCATTCTGGTAAGTCATATATGAAATTTACGTCTTGCTTACTATAGTTGACAGTTTAAACTTGATTAATATATTTTTTTAAAGTAATAATAATACGGGCAATGGGGGGGGCTTCAGCCCGTTAGCCCCCCCCCCCTGCGGACGCCACTGTACATTGGCACATCTGCCATAAGTCCATAAAGCTCATAATTCTTAATGTTTACATAACTATTATATATATTCAATTTTAATATTGTGTTTTACAATTGATGTTACCATGTTAGAAGTTCGGGTTTATTGTTCAAATAAATTATTTTAGTATATGTTTTGAAGTATACCAATTACCAGTATACTTGCGTGTTCCATGTAGCCATGTAAAAGAATTATACACAATTAATTTCAACCAAGTTATATACCTACAATGAACAACATCAATAGATTTATAAAACAATATTGTCACGTATACGTGTTAAAATTTGTAGAAGATGAAAAGGACAGGAAAAATTACGGATTTATACCAACCAAGTAAAAATAAATTGCCAAAGGTCATTGATAATAACAATATATAGAAAATATCCAAAGCGTCGAAAATGAAAATTTAGTTTCCAATTATCTTCAAATTATTTTGAGTTGAGAATTCATAAAAAATTTTCTTTTTAAATCTAAGATTTGAAAATGTAATACAAGATTCTTCATAATTTTATCTACCTTTAAAAAAAAATTCTACAAGCAAAGCAAATTAAATTTTTATGAGTTTTTGAAATTCATATTTTTACAAATTGGATATTCACTCGATTTCTCATATAGCGATTTTGTTATTTTATTCTTATTCAAAAAAGAATAACTGTAGATACATGAAAACTTTACTGAATGTTTATATTTTAATTTTCTATACACCATCAAATTTTGAAATTATTTTGACTATTTTTGAGCTGTTTACAGACTTTGTCTGTTTTCAATTTTTTAATTTTTTTTTTCCTTTAAATATAAATAAAATGTTATTTTTTGGATAGAAAGTGTGAAAATTTGATACAAGGCTCTTGATATATTGTTACAATAGCAAATGAAAAATATAAAAAATACACAGTCCCATTTTTTTTATAAGCATTTAAATTTCAAATTACATTTAATA